TCTACCCAGGTAGGAAGGATCTAGCTCAGTAGGATCCTGCCTCTTTCTCTTGGTGGAGGACCTATACCAGAGTGGCCGCACTGAAGACAGACTAGACAGATTGTCAGGCTGGAGACTCAGCTTCAGATATGGCTCAGCCGCATCCAGAGTGCTGCCTGGGCCCCCTGGCTGACTGAAGCAGAGGGAGGTGGGACCATCACTCTCACTCGGGGCCCTGGTCACTTGCAGGTACACATGTTGTTTGCAGACTCACAGGCATTCAGGTTGTTGAGTCCTCCAGCTAATGCAAGGTCCTAGCTATGTGACTTCAAGATACAAGCAGTACAGTTATAGCAGGACCCAGGCCTATCTTCACAAGAGACACAGAGCCATATGCCAGAACTTAAACTCCCAGGTGCCTCATGGGAAGACAGCTACACATTTCTATGACAGAACCCTAGCCCAGCTTAGAGAGCACCAAGAGAAGCACTGTGAGGAAGGTAGGTTAGAGTAGTTGTCACCCCTTCATGAAAGAGGAAACTGATGCCCAGAGAAGAAAAGGGATTTGCTTAATCAGACAACAAGCCAAGGGCAGAACTAGAAATGGGATCTAAGTCTTCTGACTACACAAGGCATCAATCATATAGATGCAGTCTTTGCAGTCCCTGGGAAGGCAAGGTCTGGGACTTTAGAGGGTCAGGTAGCATAGTGGTCAGTGCTCAAGGTCACACCTGGGTCCACGGTTCTTAGGAGCCTAAGGCTAGGGTCAGTGGGTACCAGTGGGTACATGGTTCCACCAGTTTGGAAAAGAAAAAGGCAAAAGTCACCCTGGCACAAAGGGCCTGAATGCTGTGAGTTCCTATCAGATACTGATCCCAGGAAAAGAGCCACTGGCAGTGGGCCCTGGACTAGCCTACGGGCATGAACGTGCAGGCAGGTTTATGGTGCCCAGGTCTCCAGGCAGCTGGGATCACTGGGCACAGAGCTCCTCAACTGCCCAAACATCATCTGGCCATGCTTATTACTGCTGCCCAATGAAATTTTATGCACCAAATCCACAGGTGTGATTTCCTCTTCTTTATGAGGGTCGGAATGACATCACTGATGGCCAATAGAAAAGAGCCAATTATGTCCAGGCTATAAAAAGGAATGGGATTTTTTTTTCAACCAAATCAAAACTCCTTCAGCTTCGTGAATGCAAGGGGCCCTCTTTAAGGAAGCCAACCCCCACCACCAACCCCAGTCCTGCCTGCGGGCTCTAAACCAAGGGATATGACTGCTTTTCAAATACTATGGGGCCTAAGGCCAGAGAGGGGCTCTGCCTTTGGCGTTTACCATGTGGCCCTGTTCTTATCACACTGGCCCCTTAGGGTCATCAGAACCCACTGTGAAACCCTCTTGCTGATGC